GGCTGACCCCTTAGGGGTCATCAATGAAAATGGATATTATGAATGTGGCTGATTTCCTGGGAATGTGTAGCAGAGCAAAGGTCTTGGGGAAACTGAGGAAGGGCAAGGAGGGACTCCAGCGAAGGGGCCAGGAAGCAGCCACCAGAGACAGCCAGTGGCTTCCTTCCCTGGGACTTTCTAATATATTCCTTTCAACTTTTCTCGTAAAGCTTTATAGAATAGGATAAGGCTCAGTCTGTGCTCAAAGACAGCCACCTGAACAGAGTGTGACAGTTCCTCCGTGACAGAACAGTCCATTGGCCTCTCTGAGCACAGACAGTTACAAGGTAGGGGAGGGGGTGTCACCTGGGAGTTGGGGGACATTGAAAGGAATCCTAGGAATGAGCAAAAGCTGATTTGGGAACCACATAGCGGGGGGGGGGATGTGCAAAGATGATCCCAGTTCAATGTTTAGGGCAAAATTTAACTTCCACAGTAGTAAAAGGCAAAGTTAGAGATGTAGGCAGGTGGGCGCTCATGGAGGCCAACGGGCCTGGAGTTGGGCTTTGGACCTCTAGGCAGTGGGGTCCCTGAAGGGTTTTCAGGAGAAGAGCCCAGTGAGGCAGGGTTTCAAGATAGACCACTGCTGAGGGATAGTCAGTATGCAGCACCAGGACAGTTGTTACAGCATTACTGTTGTGACAAAACAAGGTTCCAGACCCCCAAGGAAAGTGACTGGCCCACCTCCTGCGACACCACAGCATTCCCGTTGGAGAAAGGCCTTACGAGTGTCGCCAACGTGGAGAATCTTTCAGCAAAAGCTCTAGCCTCGCTCCACACCAGAGAGCTCCCACCAGAGTAGGGCCTTATAAATGTGGTGAATACTAGGAAGCTATTAGCCAAAAGTCTTTCCTCAAGTATCACAAAGTTCACATGGGGAAGACACCCTAGGTGTCCTGGAAATGGGACATTTCTTGTTCAATATAGTGACACTAGAGGAGACCCCTTATGTGGACACCATCTGCCTGAACTTTTTGCTTAGGGAAGTAGTCTGTGCTCTTCCATCCCAGAGAGGGATTTGTGAGAAGACAACACCCATTCCCACCTCCTTCCCAATGTGTTAAGGCCTGGGTTAGACTCATGTTTAGCCCAGAAGACTTGGTCTGAGTCCTGCTTGTGAATTAAAAGTTGGACTACATTTTTCAGTGATATTCTTGGTCTTACATGACCAGTGATGGAGTTTTCTGGCCTTGACCTCGCCAGCCTGAGAAAAGCCTGACTCTGGTTGCTCTGCTTTGTGCAATAATAAATGCCTTATTTATTTATTTTTTGATACCGAGGATTGAACCCGGAGGTGCTTAACCACGGAGCCATATCTCCAGCCCTTTTTATAATGTTTTACTTAGAGAAAAGTTCTTGCTAAGTTGCTTAGGGCCTCATTATGTTGGTGAGGCTGGCTTTGAACTCACCATCTTCCTGCCTTGGCCTCCCAAGTCACTAGGATTACAGGTGTTCACCACTGCAACTGGCTTAAATGCCTTATTTCTGAAGCCATCTATTAAAAAAGGAGAAAAAGAAAGTGACTATCCCAGGTCCCTGGTGAAGGTGTGTGGGTCACTTAGCACACTAAACCTCTGAGGGGTAACCCAGCACCTTAGCTACCCTATGACATACAGAAGATTCCCCTTCTATAGGGACCTGCCACCTGGAAAGTTAGTGGACCAGTCAGGGACCCACCCAGCTTTTCCATACTCTGGTACCACAAATCCAAAAGATTTACTGAGGATCATGGTCTGAGAGTTGCCATGAGAAAGCAAAGAAGATTTTGCCAGACTCTGGAAAAGAACTCTAGAGACACTGAGCTCTGGAATCTTTTGGGAAAAGTGACAGCCAGTGTCTCAGTAAGGGGGTCCTTCTTTCTGCCCAGGAATCTAAGCCACCCTAAAACTTACGATCTTAGATAATTAGTAAGTAACAAAACACAAATACTCAGAAATATAGTTGCAGAATGTGAAGCCCCTGATAGATATAGTCCACATGGGTTCTGGAACTAGACAAAGGGAAAATGGCTCTGGTGATTTATTTAAGAGGGTCCATCAAAGCAGGGATAAGGTTTCAAGGGCAGAGTCTTGCTCCATGATTTCTTGCAGTCAGCAGGTTGATTGACATCTTGGCAGGTCCCACCCATCTCAGGTGCTGTGAGGGCCACTGCAGAGTGGGAAAGATATTCACATTGTCCCTGGGCAATTGACCAGAGGAAATGTCCACTGGCCATTCCCGGACACCAGATTCTCTATCCACTAGGCTTCCAGGTGCAGTGACCCAGGTGCAACCCATGGTGGCTTGTGACAGTCATCCCTTGCACAGGCTGAACCATGAAATCCTTGGGGGGCGGGGGGAGAGTCTAGGATGCTCTGAATGTGATATAGGAGTAGCCCGCTCACCCAACCATCAGGACAGAGTCAGGGTCTCACCCTGGAGGGAATGTCCCTTCTACCTGGTGTTGATTGAACACAGTAATAAATGGAAGCGCTGCTATGGGAATGCTGAGAGTCGCAGCTTTATACTGGGTGATAAATTTGTGCTGGCCAATTTTCCACTACAGTAAGTCAGCCACATGCTCCTGGAGAGCCCCCAGAGCCCCTGACCCACTCAGGAACTACATCACTCTCTTCTTCTCATTAAAAAATAATCCTCAGTTTCTTAAACTGCACGGAGGGTTCATGGATGATTGTTTTATTATTCTCTAACCTAGACTGATGTGCCTTTTATGCATTTGAAATATTTCATTAAAATAGTAAAAGCAATTAAATTAAAACCAATTCTCTTAGTGGCAGTTTTAAGGACCTTCCTCAGCATAGGGATATTTGCTGCTTCCCTTTTTTTCTCTCCACACACGATTTAGCAACAGAGCGTGCCTTTTCCTGAGGAAGGGGATTAGCGAGGCCTGAGCCTTTCCACATGGCTCATGTTCACTGAGTCGTCAGAGGACATGGGCCACCTGCATGGCACCAGGGACAGGGCTTTGCCTTTGCCTGCCCTCAGGGAGGAGGGCACCTAAGCTGCCCTGACTCGAGGTGGGAAGAGTCCTGGGGCAGGACTAGGAACAGGTAGGAGGGGAGGCTGCCCAGGGCAGTGTGAAGACACATCTAGTCTTCAATCAGAAAATGGGGGCTGGGAGTGCAGCTTCGTGGCAGAACATATGCTTAGCATGAGTGAGACCCTGGGTTCAAACCCTAGCAACAGCAAAGAAAGGAAGGGGAAGGGAAAGGAAGGAAAAGAAAAGAAAAAAGGCAGGACCGGAAAAAATAATTCTTGGCTCTCTTCAACCCAGTTTCCTCCATCTGCGTCCACTCTGCCAGCCACTTCCTGCCTTCATGCCTTCAAACCTGCAGACCTTCTAAATATTCTACCCAATGAGAAATGAAGGTCCTGCCTGTGATTATAAACTAACTCAGAATGGCAGAGGGTTTCATTCCCCAGGCCAGTGCTGGTTGATCTGTAATGGCTGCCTAGAGATGTGGGTGGAGACCAAGTCTAAAGCCATCTGAGGCTCAGGGGGAAGGGTGTCAACATTGATTGGTGATGTCTGCCATGAGAGCCAAATGGGAAAATGTTGGCGTGGGTGCCAGAGACTTTCTAACTAAGGGACCCAACAAAGAAATAATCCATTTACACTGGGAAATGTTAATGAGATACCATTCACAGGCCCAGGAACAAGGGAGCTTCAACTCTTGGTGGAGAGGCCTGAAAGGAGAGAGAAAGCAAGAGACGGGCGAGCGAGAAATGAAGGATGGAGACCAGGCAGAGATCCACACGAAAGTTTATTCATCAGAGCTGACAAACAAAGGCCAACTCTCTATAGAGAGGAGAGAGATGTTCAGGTGTTCAGCTTTTGTGGGGTAGGGGTTTGGAGTTGGAGTTGTGGCGCTATGGGATAGGCTTGGGGTGCTTGCATCTGAGTTTGGTGGATGGGGAATAGTGTGGGATTGGCTTAGGTCGATGGTACCGTGGGGCTTTCCAGAGTCAAGGTGTCATGTCCTTCTGGGGTTGGCTTAGGGTTATGGTACCATGGGTAGGTCACTAATGGGGATAGGGGGAGTTCAGATAAGAGGAAGTATAGGAAAATGAAACTTATAAGACGGTGGTTAACATTTCAGATGGCTGCTCGAATGTTAAATCAACACCCTAGAAGGCCCAAGTTACGTTTTTGCCTCTAATCACAGAAATTAACTCAAGCTTTGCATTCAGCCTCCTAATTCAGGTTTCCTATTTGGAATCACAGTTCTTCCTTTGGATGCTATGGATTGCTGATGTTAGGAATGGAGCTATAAAGTCATCAGCTCTTATTTCTCCACCCCTTGTGGTTTGCAGAATCAGCTGCTTTAAAAATATATACATTTTCGGGCTGGGGATGTGGCTCAACCGGTAGCGTGCTTGCCTGGTATGCGTGCGGCCTGGGTTCGATCCTCAGCACCACATACAAACAAAGATGTTGTGTCCGCCAAGAACTAAAAAAAAAATATATATATATATATATATATATATATATATATATATATATATATTAAAAAATATATACATTTTGGCAGAGGCCAGGACTGATCCCTGAAAAGGCCCAGAGACCCCACCTTCTGGGATAGGGACTTCTAGAAAAGTCATCCCACCCTGCTCATCCTGGACAGAGGCCACGTGACACATACACAGGAGCCAGCGTGAGTCCTTCAGGCTCAGAGGATTCCAGCAAACACTGTTCATTTTTAACTCAGTTAACGTTTACCCTCTCAAAATGGTTTTGAACTCTGAGCAAAATAAGACCTAGCACTTTCAGGTCCCAAGGTCAGGGACTCCCATTATGCCCATGAAGTTCACTTTGAGAATTGTTCCCCACAGGCCAGTTAACTGATTCCCCTCAGGAAAAGGCCAAACTGCCTTTGGAGTGTACTTCTGAGAACAGCACTCTAGTCATGGATCAGTTCTCTCTCTCTCTCTCTCTCTCTCTCTGGCTTTGAACAAGACAACACACCCATCCTGAATTCAGTTTGGCAGATTCATGGAAAATAGAAGTATGTTATCTGTTGCACAGCAGACATCTCCAGCACAAACCAGAACAGTCTGCTAGAAAAAGCTTCCAGGTGCCCCCGGGTTGCAGCCCAGAAACAACATTTATTAGTTGCAGAAAAAGATGAAGCTGAGCAGAACCTGCTTTGAAGCGATAACAGGTATGGGGTTGAAGATCATGCATTGATGTCGGGAAATATAAAATGTGATTCCACTTTGCTGGTGTGTGTGCAAACACGCACATGTCTGCACACAGGAAGAAAAAAGATTAAAAAAAAAGAAATCGTTAACATTTGATCTTAGCAAGGTGGGATTGCTAATGACTGGGGGGTTGTTTTATCTTCACACAATTCTACATTTTCTGTTTGAGCATATGCTCCTTTTATAATAGAAAGCAAATTAAATCTTTTTAAAAAACAATTACAAAAGAGAGGGAAAGGGAAACGTAAGAAAGAACATGGATACTGCAGTCATTTAGAACCGAGCTAGGATTCTCATTCTTCTGCCCTTTATTAGCGGGTACACTTAAGACAAATTATTGAACTCCTCTGGGGCTCTGATTCCTCCCCTTAAATCACCTAAATAGGACAAGCTTTGAACAAAGAAGCAGACTCATTGTTTTTATGGTGGTTTTTGTTTTCAGAGCAGGAATGCTTAACAGTCAGGGAAAGATGGATATGGTGCCGGGAAGAGATTCTTGGTTTTCTCTGTGGGTGGAGATTGAGGATCTAGAGAGGAAGTGAGGCAGCCCCAAGGAACCAAGGATATGCTTCATTTGGGCAGCTCCCCCTCACCATCTTCCAACCCAAGGATGGGGGATGGAGAAAAAAACACCAGAGACCTGTGGGTCCCAGCATCAAGTCTCCAGTCCCACCTGTGGCCATGATGAAGGCGAGCTGACAGGCAGGAGTCTGGGACTCACCTCCTGATGCAGGCAGCGGATACCTGAAGGCCCCATCAGTGCTTGCAAGTTGGAGCCCAAGCTGGGCTGGGCGGGGGCCAGAGGATGGATTTGCTGGTCAGCCTGTGAGAGCCAAGGCCAAGAGAAGTAGAAGGACCTCCATGGCAGGGGCACAAGGGACATGGGGGCAGGCTGGGTTAAGGCAGGACATAGCTCCTAAGGCCTTTGAGGACACTGCACATCATGGGAAAAGAAGTGACAACATCTCCAATGCCCTGGGAGCGCCTGCCAAGAGGAGTAGCCCCAGCCGGCTCCTCTCTGCTGTGTAAATCTCATTCCAAAGCACTCAAATTAATTTCAGCAAGAGCTCCCCAGAGCTCATGACTGGATCGCCAGGACTCCTCCTGTCCTAAGAAAAACAAGAGGGACAGCCAGAATTTGTCAAGAAATTAATTGAAAACAGCGACAAGAGTCTCATGAATTCTTAATTAGACGGTAATTTGCTCCTTCCTCAAGGGCAGGCTCAGACGCCAGCTCTGTCTCCTCCAGGGCCTGCTTACCCAGGGCCCCCAGCTTCTGAGAGGAGACAGTCCTGCCACCAGGAAACAGCTGTTTCTTCTCTAGCTAGGTTACAAAATCACACGTCCTCATCCTACAGTGTCCTAGCCCAGGAGCCAGGGTCACAGGCTTAGATAACATCTAGGATGCTTCTTCCAAGAAAAGCAAGAAAAAAAAATGCCTCTGGGTGTTGCACAAACCCAAAACAAGCTCTTTACTTAGTCATTATCCATCTGGTTTAGGTGTCTGTGTGAAGTTAACTCCTTTTAGGTGTGAATGATTAGACCAAATCAGAATCCAAACTCTGTAGACCTGGAAGAAAACCCAGAGATCAGACAGCACCCCAGGGCCCAGTACTGCACCCAGTAAGCTCATCCTTTGATGGGTGAGTGTAGCATAGCTCCAGGAAATCACAGATCTGATCAAGGTCACAGAAACAATGACAATGCAGGTCTACTGTTCCCAGCCCACTAGGCCATGGTGCTCAGTCTTGAAGTTCAACTGGCCAGAGCACACGGTGAGGAGGCTAAGATGAACAAGACATAGTCACCGTCCTCAAGAGAGTCAGTGGAAAAACACAGACATAAATGACTATGATACTAAAAAACAATACTAATAATCCAAATCTTGGTAATAAGGCTAACAGAGTACAGCATGTTCTGCCAGCCTCATCCTGGGCATTGTTTCACAATCCTACCCAGTGGTTGCTTAATTACCTCAGGGAATCTATCTCCCTGTGATTTGGCTATTTACTCATAAGGACCCAGATTCTATGAAGTTACATATTTATTTGCAGATCTTGCCCAATGAAGATAGAAATAATTTCTATCCGATAGAAAAGATAACAACAAAGATTATGTTTTTAATTGCCAGGTCTTGGTTTTTAATATTTATTTATTTATTTATTTGGTATTAGGGATTGAACCCAGAGGCACTTGAACACTGAGCCACATTCCCAGCTCATTTTATTTTTATTTTGAGACAGGGTCTCACTGAGTTGCTTAGAGCCTTGCTACAGTTTGCTGAGGCTGGATCGGACCTTGAGATCCTCCTGCCTCAGCCTCCCAAGCAGCGTGTGCTGCCGCACTGGGCTGTTTTTTATTGTTGGCAGTAAAATGCACATATTAGTTACCATCTTAACCATTTTTCAGTGAACAGTTCAGTGATATTCCATGCACTCACGCTAGGCACCATCACCGCCATCCATCTCCTGAACTTTTTTCCTCTTGCAAAGCTACAACTCTATACCCATGAAACAAGAAATCCCCATTCTATTTCTCCCTCCCCATCACCACTCCTAGCAACCACCATCCTATATCCATCCTATAATCTGTCTATGAATTTGACTATTGACTTCTTGGTACTTTGAAGAGTGGAATCTAATGGCATTTGTCCTTCAGTTATTGGCTGATTCCCTGAGCACAGTGTCCCCCATATTCACCCATGTTATAGCATATACCAGAATTTCCTTTCATTTAAGAAGGCTGATATAGATTCCATTGTTCATATATGTCACATCTTGTTTATTCCTTTATCCACTGATAGACACTTGGGCCAAGTGGGGCAGTGCACAACTACGGTCCCAAAGACTCCGGAGGCTGACGCAGAAGGATTCTCCAAGTTCAAGTCCAGTCTCACCAACTTAGTGAGATCTTGTCTCAAAGTTTAAAAAATTAAAATAGTGCTGGGGATGTGGCTCAGTGGAGAGTGTCAATAGTTTCAAGCCCTATTAGCCAAAAATAAAACCAAAAAACCAGACACTTGGGCTGCTTCCAGCTTTTGGATATCACATACAGATATCTGCAGAAGATCCTGCTTTCAATTGTTTTGGGTATATATCCAGAAGTGGAATGGCTGAATTACACTGTAATACTCTGTTGACTTTTTTTAAATATTTTTTTTTTAGTTATAGATGAACACAATATCTTTATTTTCATGTGGTGCTGAGGATCTAATCCAGTGCCTCTTGAATGCTAGGCAAGCGCTCCACCTCTGAACCACACCCCCAGCCCCTCTGTTAAATTTTTTTTGAGAGAAAACATTACTGTTTTCCACAGTGGCATTTACATTCCTAACAACAGTGCACAAGGGATCCAATTTCTCTACAGCCTCACCAACACTTGTCATTTTATATTTTTTTGTTGTTGATATTTATTGCAGTGCTGGAGATCAAACTCACAGTCTTGTACATGCTAGGCAAGCATTCTTCCCCTGAGCTATTTTTTGATTTTTGATAGTATCACAGTGATCCTAATGGATGTGAGGTGATATCTCATTGTGGGTTTGATGTGCATTTCCTTAATAGTTAGTGATGTTGAACATCTTTTCATGTTTGTTGGCCATTTTTTATCTTCTCTGGAGAAATGTCTATTCAAGTTTTCTGTTAATTTTTTAAATCAAGCTGGGGTTGGTGACTCAGATCTATAATCCCAGTGACTTGGGAGGCTGAGGCAGGAGGATAACAAGTTCAAGGTCAGCCTCATTTAGTGAGACCCTCAGCAATTTAGTGAGATCCTGTCTTTTTTTTTTTTTTTAGTTGTAGGTAGACACAATATCCTCATTTTTACTTTTTTTTTTTTTTAATGTGGTGCTGAGGATAGAACCCAGTGCCTCCTACATGCCAGGGGAGCATTCCACCACTGAACTACAACCCCACCTAAGATCCTGTCTTTTTTTTTTTAACAGGGAGAGAGAGAGACAGAGACAGAGACACAGAGAGAGAGAGAGAATTTTAATTTTTTTTTCTTTTTTAATTTTCGGCGGACACAACATCTTTGTTTGTGTGTGGTGCTGAGGATCGAACCCAAGCCACACGCATGCCAGGCAAATGCACTACCGCTTGAGCCACTTCTCCAGCCCAGAGATCCTGTCTTAATATTAAAAAAAATAGAAAAGACTGGGAATATAGCTCAGTGGTAGAGCACTCCTAGGTTCAATCCCCAGTACTGCAAAAGAAAAAAAGTAGATCAGATTTTGTTGTTGTTGTTGTTGAATTGCAGGAGTTCTTTATATATTCTGGATATTAGCCTGTTATTAGATATATGATTTGCAAATTTTCTCCAGTTCCATGGGGTTACATTTTTACTCTGTGGACAGTGTCCTACGATGTATCAGAGTTTTTCATTTTGATGAAGTTCAGGTTCTCTATTTTTTTTCTCTTGTGGCTTGTGCTTTTGGTGTCATAGCCAACGAATCATTGTGAAATGTCATGAAGTTTTCCCCTTGTGTTTCCTTCTAAGAGTTTATAGTTTAACTCTTATGTTTAGGATCCTGATTCATTTTGAGTCAATGTCTGTATCTATGGTACCTGGGAGGCATCCCCCTTCATTCTTTAGCATGTGGATAGCCAGTTTCCCCAACACTATTTGTTGGCATCCTTGGGTCAAAAACCATTAATCACATAGGCAAGGGCAACCAATTTTATTTTCAACCTAGAAAACTATTTCTAACATTCCCTTTGGAATGCCTATAAATACCCAGTCTCTTTGACCCAGCTTTCCTATCTTATTGGTCCCCTCATGCATGAGTCACTGAGTCTTTGCCTGCATCCATTCTATATATATATACATATGGAGAAGAATCGTGTGTTTAAGTTCTTGAGACTTATGCTTTGACAGTAATGTACAAAGTGCTATGGGGGCAGAGCGAAAGTCAGTCCTCGTTGGGGGATGCAACACACTTGGTCCCTTTTGAGATCAGCCT